AAAGAGTGGGACTAATGTTTGCCCCGAAGCTCGATCCATGAGGACCGTACGTGAAGAGGGAGGGTGCAGGATGAGAGGCATCGGTGGCCCTCATCCAGACAAAAAGCTCCCTCTCAGTCCCCCCCTGAACCCGGGAGGTCAACCGGTCCACCCACCGGGAACTCACAAGGGTGAAGGGACAGGATGCTTCAGGTTTCCCGGCAGGGGGGCAAGGCTGGATCAGGTTTTCACAGCGAGGGGTGCGTAGGGGTCTCTGGACTCCTACGTAACACTCCGACCTGCGTCAAAAACAACGATGGAGCTGATATTCGACCTATAATCAGGCGACACCTCGGTGTCGTCTGCTGCGGCGAACTCCGGCGAAGTTGGCGGGCCTGGTCCGGTCAAATCCACTTACACCACCTCCACGTGGTGCCCCCTGGGACCCCTGGCGGCCCCGGCCGTCGGGGGTGCTAACGGTGTAAGTGGTAGTAGAGGGGGGAGGTTACTAAACAAAAAATATGGATAGTACAACAGAAGAGATAGTGGTTACTGCTCCAGGGGAACTCGGTGCCCCAGGAGCCGGCGCAGGTGTGGTGGTAAAGCAGGCCACACCTGCGTCGTTATCGGACGTCTGCGGAGCCCGCTTGGTGGACCACCAGGCCAGCGGTGCTTTAAGAGTTACTGGCGAAGGAGGGGGTAGTAATACCCCCTCAGAGGCGGTGTCTGACCCTCCGGGGCGGACCCGCCTCATGACGGGAGGCGCCCTGATGGTGCGTCTCCGGCGCCTCCCCGGCAGCCTGGTCAGGAGCTCCAGCTCCAGGAGTGTCGACCGGGCTGTCGAGATAAGCGACGACGAGGACGTGGACTCCGATGGGTCCACGATGTCTGCCTCGTCGGTTCGCTTGGGGGAGTGTGGCCCTGGCACCTCGGGCGGCCGGAAGAGGGGGCGGCCCCCTCTGACCGTCGAGAGGTGCGGGCTCGCGGAGGCCAAGCGTAAGCTTCTGAAGCTTACGCACAAGGAGCAGGGCCTCCGCGAGTGCGACGTCGAGGACCGGGCGGTGCTGCCGCCCCCGGTCTTGAGGTCATGTTTGAAGCTGCCACCGGGTGAAACGGTGGCAGAGGATATGCGGCGGGCCCCTACGCCGGACCTGGGTGCGGTCATCAATGACCGCATCCAGGTGATTGAAAAGGTGGCGCGGTGCAGCGCCAACCTTAAGGGGACGAACGTCCGGGCGCTCCGGGAGGCTGCTCTGCAGATACGCTACGCGGCTGCGGAGCAGGCCAAAAGGACAGTGACCTCCGAGCGTGAGAGCGAGCTGGAGCGGGAGGTGTGTGACCTCCGCGCCCGGCTCGCTGTGGTGGAGGCGCTGTCCGCGCGAAGGGAGGCCCGGCGGACGTCCCCGGCGGCGGGGGGCGAGGTTGTGGCGGCGGGGGCCCCGGTCCAGTCGACGCGGAGAAAATCGCTCCGGTGGTGGAGTATCCCGCCCCGAGGAATGTTAGACAACTCCGGCGATTTCTCGGCATGACTTCGTGGTACCGCCGATTTTTAGCGAACTTCTCGACCGTCGCCGAACCACTAACGCGATTGTTACGAAAAACGCAGTCCTGGACGTGGGAGGTCGACCAGCAACTCGCCTTCGAAACGTTACGGACTATGATCGCGACGGCACCCACCCTAATGTGCCCCGATTTTTCGTTACCGTTCACGCTGCAAACAGACGCGAGTACCGTAGGATTAGGGGCGGTATTGACTCAGGAGGTGGAGGGGACGGAGCGAGTAGTAGCGTTTGCGAGCCGCACGCTGACCGGTCCCGAGCGAAAGTACTCGACCACCGAACTCGAATGTCTAGCCATCGTATGGTCCACGAAAAAGTTTCGGCCATACTTAGAAGGGTACCGATTTACCGTAATAACGGACCATAGTAGTTTGCAATGGTTGAGGAATTTGCGTAACCCGTCCGGTAGATTATCGCGATGGGCCCTCGAGCTCATGGAGTACGATTTTAACGTAAAGTATCGCCCTGGAGCCTTACACCATGTGCCGGACGCGTTGTCGCGAATGTACGAGGACGCGGTAGAGATCGAAGAAGTACCGATAGTATCGACCGTCGAACCCCTGACCTGGTATAAGCGGAAGGTGGCGGAAGTCCTCGAGCACCCGGAGCGGAATCCCGATTGGCGGTACGAGAACGAGCGCCTACACTATCGGAGGGACGACCCGGTAGTCGTAGAATTTCTGGGGAGCGATGCTGAAGAGTGGAAGTTAGTTGTACCCGACGAGGAGAGGGAGGGAGTTTTGCGTGAGTGTCACGATGACCCGCAGGCAGGGCACCTGGGAATTAAGAAAACATACGAACGTGTCGCGACTCGGTATTTTTGGCCAGGGCTATTTCGCCGGGTGGCGAATTATGTGCGGAGGTGTGGAGTTTGTCAGCGGACGAAAGTCGAGCAAACTCCACCCATGGGGCTGATGGGGAAGCGTCATGTCGAAGCGCCGTGGACGGCCATCGCCGCCGACATTATGGGACCCCTGCCTCCGAGTCGCGCGGGATATTCTTACCTCCTCGTGGTGCAAGACCTCTTCAGCAAATGGATAGAATGTCGAGCTTTACGAAAGGCCACCGGAAAGGCAATCGCGGACGCGCTCGAAGACCTAGTGTTCTCGCGGTGGGGAACGCCCGAGGTGCTCCTGACCGATAACGGCACCGAGTTCGTCAACGGAGCAATCCGCAGTCTCGCCCAAGAGTACGGAATTTACCATACGACCACGCCGCCCTACCACCCTCAGTCGAATCCGGTAGAACGGGTGAACCGGGTATTGAAGACCATAATTGTGGCATACTTCGACAGAGATCACCGTATGTGGGACCAGAACCTACCGCAATTTCGATTCGCGTATAATACCGCGTATCATGCCGTCCTGCGTACCTCCCCCGCGTTTTTAAATTTCGGTCGCAACCCCCAACCGACAAATAGCGTGAGTACGGAACGGAACGGACCCCGGGAGTACGAGATCGGAGCCACAGGCGGCTGGCAAACTCGCGTCGGAGAATTGCGCTTGTTGAGGGCCTGGGTAGCCGAAAACCTATCGCAGGCGTACGACGAGCGGGCTCGCCGATACAACCTCAGACGGCGAGCGAGCGTGTTTCGAGTCGGAGACTTAGTGTTGCGCCGACAACGCGTGTTGTCGTCGGCCGCCCAAAACGTAGCGGCCAAACTAGTGCCTCGCTTCCACGGCCCGTTCCGTATTGCAAAACGGTTGTCCGACGTGGTATACGAGCTCGAGACCCTCGACCGGAAGAGAGTGGGAAAAAGCCATATCTGCGACCTTAAGGCCTATGTTACTCACGAAGATTAATCCATAATTCCTGTTTCTCTTCTGTTGCCCCTACCCATCACCCCTAAAACCCGTGTCTTTTGGGTAACGATTGTGTGGCTTCCCACCCCCATACCAACGAACAGCAGGAGTATCCACGCACCGACATGGAACGAGAGGATGTCGCGGAGAGCCTGCGGTGATACCGCCCAGCCTTCCGGTACCTAGCGAAGTCGGCCCCCGGCTTCTGGGAGACATTAACCGAGATTTTCTGGAAGGAGCAGGAGAGCCGGGAGACCCGGAGCGGCGCTATCGTTCTCCCGTGGCCGGAGCAGCGGGATATGGCGGTGCAAACGGAGGGAGGCCCCCCGCCAACGAGGGAGGAGAGGAATAGAGTAGCGGCCGGCCTCCCTCCACGAACCCGGGGAGTATCGACGGCCACCCAAACTACGGAGTCGGGGCCCCGCCAACGACCGACGCGGGAGGTCGGGGTGAACACCCCACGACCCCGACCGCGCGAGGATCGGGGTTGCCAGACGATCGCGGTAGTCACCCGAGACCAGGAGACCCAGACCGGACAGGACCGGGAGATTGCGACACGGCCGGGGGGATGGGGGGCACCCCGCCCCAACGAGTTCCGGCAGATCTCCCCACAGGGCACCGCGTCCGGAGACCGGGTGCTGACGCCGCGACCATGGGGACAGCACATCCGGCGGGAGGAGCTCCCCAAGGAGGCCCCGCCCCCCACCCCAAGGAGACCCACCGAGGGCGGGGGGCCGCCGAGATCAGCCACCGCGCAGCCACCGCCGACGAGGGGCCCACGAAGGAGCCGACGCTACGAGGACTGTTGGCGTTGCGGGAGCGATGGCCACCGGTACACGGAGTGTACCGCACCGCGAGAGAGCGC